CTTTTCATCCAGCGTCATCAATAGAAAGAGAAAAACACAGGCAGAGACGATATAGCCGATAAATTAAATGACGTTTATAATTTTTATTTATCATGCGATTAATTGATTTATTGCTTATCGCGACAGGCCTAAGCGCAGCGCTATAGGTAACCGCCTGAGAACTGGGTAACCGGTGGAAAAGCTGGCACGCCATAAGAATGTGCCACTGGTAGCGTTCTGCGGCCTTCATGGCCTCAGTAAATCCGTTCCCCCTCTCAGCCCCCACCTGAATGTATGTGACGTATTGTGATGAACGGCTTGTACTCAAACTGAAATTCTGATTACAATGTAAATTGTAGTTGACAATAAAGATTGGTTGATTGATCGATTGATTGCCCCTCTTCCATTGTGGCGTGGAATAACATAGCGCAGACCACGCTTCAAGATTGGGCATAAATCAAGAATATCTGAGACAAGCTCACTGCGACACACTGCTGAGGGAGGATAACCAGCCCTTAAGTCTCATGTTGGTTTTTAGATTTTTGACCAACATGCAGAATCAAATGAAAAAGCGAAACATTTTCATCAGTTACTTTTGATCGAGGACCCATCTTGGCAAGACTTACTATCATGTTGCTATATTAGCTACCATTTAAATGGGGAGAGACTTTGTTCACGCAGCTTTTGTGTGATTTCTTTGCGTGTTAGCTGCAGCTTATCTCCGTATTGTCAAAGCTCCACACTGGTGTTATACTATGATCCTTGACCCAGGCAAAAGAAAAATGTGTTCCATGAGACTGTATGATTTTGCAAGCTCTGTGCAAGCTAATAAAATAAGCCTTTTGCCTCAGATGACCATTTATCGAGTGGTTTGTTACAGATTTTGGTGTAGAATTGATATGAACATTTAGAACATTTATTTCAATTTAAAATGAAATTCAAGTATTCTTTATTGATCGCCAAGGGAATTAAATGTTGCAGGAGCTCATAGGTTTGTTTTACATCTGCAGGCAGGAAAGAACTCCTGTAGTGGCCTTTCTAGAGAAGCCTCTTACTGAAGACACTGTGTTGTTCTTTAACTTTCTGATGAAGAGGATGCTCACTGTTGTCTATAATATTCTTCGCTTTATGAAAAATTCGTCTCTGTGAAATAATCTCCAGAGGTTCTTGAGGAGTTCCCAGAACAGAGCCGGCCTTTTTTATTAGCTTGTTGTGTTTTTGTAAGTCATATAGCTCTAATACTACTTCCCATTGAGAGAATGGCAGAGATCACCTTAAATATGAAAAATGCAGAGTCCAAACTACCCATAATATTACAAAGAAAATAGGGAATTAACATGTCCGTCTGAGTGCATGTATCTCTCTACATCACGTCTCCTGCGCTCTCTACTGAGAAGCAGTGGCACGCAGCAATACCAGAATATCTTAAAGAGACACTGCACAATTACGACTGTTACACTATGTAGCATCTTGCTATAAAGGCAGAAGCTTTCTAAGCTTCCTTAGAAAGTATAATCTGCTCTTTCACTTTTTGTAGACAGCTTCACAGTTGTGTCTCCAGCTGAGTTTGTTGTCCAGGTGAAAATGAAAGTATTTATACTCCTCCACCTCCTCCACTTCTCTGATAATGGTAATAGGATTCAACTTGTTCCTGTTTCTTCTGAAACCTTCAATAATCTCCCTTGTTTTGTTGACATTCAGGATCAGATGATTGTTTCCACACCATGCCACAAAACGGTTCTATTGCTCTCTGTATTCAGCTTCCTTTCCATTTTTGATTCACCCAATGAGTCATCTGAGTATTTCTGTGGGTAACAGGACTCTGTCTGGTACACGTACAGAGTAAAAAGGAATGATGAGAGTATCGTCCCCTGTGGTGCTCCTGACTACTTGATTAAACAGTCGACCCTTCAGTCCAGCAAACCGTTGTCTGTTTGTCATTTAGTCTTTGATTCAGGTGATTGTTTATGCTTCCACCTGAGTCTTCTTCAGTTTCTCACATGGTAAGTCAGGCTGAATTGTGTTGAATGCACTGGAGAAATCAAAGAACACCATTCTCACCGTCCTGTCTGCCTTGTCTAAAGAGCAGTTGGTTTTTTGAAGCAGGTGTATGATGGCATCATCAATACCAACTCCATGACAAAAAGCAAACTGTAGGGGGTCCTGATAGCTGCATGTTTGTTTGTTGAGGTTAACCAACAGAAGTCTCTCTTGAACCTTCATGATGTGAGTTGTCAGGTCAACAGCGCTATTATCACTGATGACTGTTGGCTGAATCGCTAAGAAGCATTTCACTGTTCTGGTAGGGATGGTGTTATCTACACAGAAGATTATATATTCAGTCACACACTTAGTGATTGAATTGATGTCATCTTCATGTGGCTGACACGGTGCTTTCCAGTCTGTAACCTCAAAGCAACTTAGCAGGGCTCCTTTAGCTTCTGGTGACTACTTTCTTACAGCTCTTTGTAATCCAGGTTGTCTCTTATAATGAGGCGCATATGTGGTAATGTGGCCTTTTTTTCCTTTACTTAAAGTTAACTGCATGTTTTATTTTTCTAGTTTGGATTTGCTTTATTTTGAAATTATTTACTTTCTTGTTAGATTTAGTTTTTTGTTGTTGTTTTATAATTGCACCTCTCGGGTGCCACATATACTCCAAGGAGAGAAAAACCAGATTGTGATCTGATTTACAAACAAAAGGTCTTACTTGTTTGTAAATTGCTCTCTATATTCAGATGTCCCCACATGTTTCATAAAACTAACATACAGTAAACTAACATAAGCTTTTTGTTTTTTAAAGGCGCATAACTGACTTTTCTAATTGTCTGCCATAATAATAGTTTATATGTAAAAAAAAGAAAAAAAGTTCTTATTGATTGGACCCTAAAATCAGAAACCGTCTGGCATACAGTAGACATGTAGTCCAAAACAGGAAAGTATGATCCATAGGATAACTGTCAATCAAAATGTATACATAGTATGAATTTGTAAATGTAAATCAGTATACATAATTTACATTTTATTATTTGTATTTGATCCTTACAAACAGGAATTCGTAATTGTAAGATTCATATTCATTTCTTCGTTCTTATAAACTTATGATTCCTTGTCATAAATTTGAGATTCGCATTGTTTGAAAGTTGAAACTGTTGTATTTGTGATTTCTAATTTCTAATTTTGTCATCTCAAAGATAAAACAAAGAATCTGATGTCACATGTAAATAGGAGATCAAAACAAGAAGCAAACAAAAATCTTAAATTTCTCTAATTACTGTGTTACATTACAAATGTAAACACCTACGCATCTGGTTTTATTGATGTTATCTTGTTTTATTGATGTTATCTTGCCCCATACTGGTCACCCCAGTGTAAAAGTACAGATACCTGTGTATAAAATGACTGGTAAAAGTACTTATTAAACTCCATTAGTTAAGTAAAAAAGAAAGGTTCTATATATGTAGGCTACTTAAGTACAAAAGGAAAATGAAGCTTTCACCCCAAATAGTAAAAAATGACTTTTAAAACTGCAATTACTGAATATCAGCCTCCCAGACCACCCCGGTCTTCTAGTTGCAGTCTACTCTGTACACCCAGAACTAGAACCAAACATGGAGAAGCAGCATTTAGTTCCTCTGCTCCTCTTATTTGGAACAAACTCCCTGGGCAGGTTGTGGTTCAACAGGTTTATTTGTTTTACTATCTGCTTTTGTCATTTTTTTATCTCTATTTGCTTTTATTCTGCTTTTATTTTTCCTCTATTTTGATGTCTAATTCATGCAAAGCACTTTGAGATGTATGTGTACAGAACTGTGCTTTACAAATAAACTTGCCTTGCTGTTCTTAAAAAAAGTTCTGTGCACAGAAAGCTGTTTACTTTTCCGTTGTTGATCACTTTCTTTATAGAGACATAGATCATCATATAGTATATACCGACACGGTTCAAAATTTCACACAGGATAATATAGGTTGAACTGAAGTCCTGCAAAAGCAGCTGAATTTCTAGAGCTCCACAGCATAGAGTTGTTGTAAAGTAAAATGTAATAAAGGGGGTGTATTGAGACGGTTTTGTGTCTCACAATCTGATTCCTCTGCCAATCCTCTGGTTGTGCCTATCCACCATTGTCACGATGCGCTGGTGTCTATCTCTGGCAGTCTATAGGCTGTGGAGTTAGGAAACTGAGACAGAGGCATTTTTTCCAAGAAAATAGGTTCACATTTATTTAACATCCTCAGATGGAGAGATAGGGCTCTGACTTTATACCTTAAAAAAATTCCCAACAATCACTCCTCCCAGGGGAACCAACCCACCCCCTGCATAAAGAACTTTCTCACACTTGAACATCTGGAGGAAAAACAACTGGAGTTCATCAACGCTGCTCACTGTTGGGTTAAAATATCTTTCAATGGCCACATGGATCTCCTCAAAACAACAGTCCTCCTCTTCATGCAATGAAGGAGGCTGTGTGACTCATTCTTATCTCTCATGACCTTCGTTTGGACCCTGTGAGGCTAAGAACAGACATATCTCAACATTTTTTACTCCGCAAGATGAAAGGTGGGGTACACCCTGATGTGGTCATCATTCAGATAATCTGACCTGTAATCTGAAAGGATTTTTAGCCACCGGTTTTCATCCATGTCATTATAAGTCTGTTTCTTTGAACAAACTTTGGTCCAAATGGACTGTTTATGTTTTAACTGCTGATTTTCCCTCTCTATAAATGCAGCTGTTTACCATCATACATGTATAAATGTAGAAGTAAAAAGCCAGTTTGGAGAAAGTAAGCAGTAAAACATACAGATATTTGCTTTTAAATGTAGTGATAATATGTAAAGATAACAAAAACTCTACTTAAGTAGTGTCACAAGCATTTATACGTGGGTATCACCTCTGGTCAGTTGCATGACATCAATAACTTTGAAGCAATGCTTCCTCTTGAAATAGCGTGTGGTCATTGTGGACAGTCGATTGCATCAAGTTAATAACCTTGCAGTAATTCCTCATATTTCTCTAACAGACTTCATTTTTCGAGCCACTTTGAAGGAACCAGCCCAACCTGGTCATCCACCCTGCCAGAAATGATGAACGGCACTAATTCTGCACTAATGAACAGAACTAATTCCTGTGAACCCGTAAACAATCTGGCTAACACCTTTTTTATAGTGCTCTACAGTGTGATGTTTCTGGTAAGTACTTGTTAGCTTCATTTTTATGGCGTGAAAAAATGTTGAACCAGTCTGACCCAGTTATTGTCCTCCTCAGGTGGGTTTAGTCCTAAACGGCTTCACATTAAGGGTTTACTTCTGTGTAGCCCAGCATCGTCCATCCAGCAGCGTCACCATCTACCTGAAGAACCTGGCAGCCTCTGACTTCCTCATCAGCCTCTGCCTCCCGCTGCGGATCATGAACTTCGCCAGTAACTCTACCCTCATCCGGCAGGTCTACTGCAACTTTGGAGCCGCTGCCTTCTATCTCAACATGTACGCCAGCATCCTGTTCATGGGCTTCATTGCTGCCAATAGGTAGGACGGAGTTGTCTTTGAACAATATTTAAATCTAGGATCATAATTGTGATGAACAGCTGCATGGATGATGTTTTAAGGTATAGTCACCTAAAAAAAAACATCTTAAAACTTTTTTTAGTCTGGCAAAATGCATGAGATGCACATTAAGGGACTGAAAAAAAGCCCTTGTCTGCATGTGATTTCAATGAGTACTGTTTGCCTGCCTGCCTGTCTGTCCTTCTTACTGCCTGATACTAAAACAAAAGTCAACCCTGTGATCTACTCTGATCATTTTTCCAATTTTCTTTTTATAAATTGCTCTGCTTGTCTCCCTTGTAGTCAAAAGAAATTATCTTTGAAACATCATCATTCATTTTCATGTTTGTTGTTGGTGAGGACTCAGTAAGATCATCAAGCCATAAATAACGAATGTTTTATTTTTAAATGCAAACCATTGATATCCTATATAATTTAAGAAAACCCATAAGTTAAATGCTTATCATGTTATGTAGATTTTAAAAAGTTTAGCTCCTAAATACTGTCACATTCAGTGACAGTATTTAGGAGTTACACTGTTTTATATAGGAGTTAAACTTTTTTAGGATCAGTAGGATCCAGAATTTGAGGCAGACGGACAGACATCTCAAAACGTTAATTAGAAATGAATTTGCAGTGAATAGTGTGGCTGTCTAAGGCAGGAACTTTTGGTCTTAAAGTTAAGTCTGTGTAGAGAAGATGAGGCTGGTTCCAACTGGTTGGCTGCCAATGGGCGCCTAGAGAGTCCCAGACATGGCAGTCCTGGAGGTCGGAGAACAGGCAGATCAGAACCGAGCAGACGAAGGTAGGATAATCCAGAGGGCGAAGCCAAAGCCGGTGTTCGAGGACGTGCTCAGGAATCAGAGCCAGGAGATCAGAGATTCGAAGGGTTACCGGAGAGAAATCCAGGATGGAGACAGGAATCAGTTCCAGGTTTGGTAAACAGGTAGAATCCAGCACGAGTCCGAGGATAGGTCAGGCAAACAGATCAGAACGGGGACAAGCAGGCTCAGAGGTCCAAAGGTAGAACAGATCAGGATCAGGCAATCAGAAACACCCTGATGACATGTCTGAAGGCTGGTTAAATAGAGGCTGAAGAAGGAGAATGAGATGAGAAGGTAATGAGAACTGGGCGGAGATAGGCAGGTGAATGAAATGAGTAATCAGACCAGACATCAGCACCAAGATCATTGCAAATATGGTTTATTTGGTGTGTTTTAAGTATTTCTGTCTGTTAGGGAAAAATAAAGATGCATAAAACAAACTTGCTTTTCTGAAAGAACAACAAAACCATGAATCATGAAGCAGATTTTGTCTCTTAAAATGCTAAAGTATAAAAGGACTTCAATGTGATCCAGTGAAGCAAAATTACAAAACAAATGGAACTGAAAGAAGCATTTCAAATGATTGCAGAAAGGAACAGATTGTTTATTTTGTTGTTTTATCAACCATTTGCATCCAAGCTGTAAAATAATACAATCCATGCATTTATACAAAGCTAAAAACAATTACATTTCAAAAACTTTGATGTGGAAGAGCTAATGAGTGAATAGATGGCACCTCGTAGTAATGCAGAAACTGACAATAAAGACGAATCCACCTCTAAAACCTAAAAGCTGAAAGCGAAGTGCACTTTAGCTCCGGGATTTCCACTGACAGAGAAACCCTTCTCATTTAGCAGGACACACCCTCACTCTCTGTTTTCATTTTTTCATTGATCATTTCTCTTCTGCTTTTTTCCCTCAGAACATCTCTGTTTTATAGTTTCACTCTTACTGCAAGATGTGGGAACTTTATCACACAGTAATGATGACATTTGAACCTTTTTTCTTGCAAGAAATGCCTCTGTCTCAGCTTCCAAACTCCACATCCTATAGACTGCCAGAGATAGACACCAGCCCATTGTGACCCTGGCAGACAGGCAGAACCAGAGGATGGGCAGAGGAATCAGATTTATGTCCCAATACATCCCCTTTATTACATTTTAGATGTACATGTTAATGTAAAACTCTACAAGAACTCTATGCTGATAAGCTCTAGAAATTCAGCTGCTTTTGCTTGACTTCCTTTTAGTTCAACCTGTATTATCCTGTGTGAAATTTTGAACTGTGTCAGTATTATAATTATGCAGTAATGATGCAGGATTGCAGAAAACAAGAATCCATATAAATATATATTCATTATATTCATCTTAATTACTGTTTAACACATAAGTTTACATGATGATTTTAACTCTTTTGACATTATTGATGAGCAAAATAATTTGAAACTGACATTACCCCCTTACCTAATTGACCTGTATTGCTGGAGGTGAAAAACATAAAAAGAAAACAGACATTTAACCAGTAAGGTAGAGAGAATAAAATAATTAATTAAATAAAACAGACAAACTAGATGTTTATTGGAAATAAACAGTTGGAAAGTTTTAACTGTACAGCATAAGGAGCTGTTAAATAACTGGGAAACAGTGGGTACATATGGATATTGTACAAGCAGACATATTAAATGACAGAAAGAAGGTATAAAACAGCTAAGATCATGAACACAGATATATAATAAAATCCAGAATACTGAGAAACAATGCACATAATTGGTAAACTCATTATAGTTCGATAGAGCGTGCATTGAGTCCAAGGACAGTCTAAATCTACACACCTAAAATTAGTTGTTTACATTTTTAAATAAATGGTATATAATAAACTACCATAGTACTTTTTAAACAGAAAACTTCAAGCCTGACTGATCAGAGTCGTTCTCTCCTTACTTTTAAAAAGATTTAAAACCTGAACTCCCTTCGGGTTTTCAGTAAGCTTGGTCTACAGCTGAGGGACGCCCCCCGCTTTTTTTAGCTCTCACACTACCAGTCAACCTGAAATGGTTCAGAAATGAGCAGAACTGGTTCTAGAAACCAGGAGTGACGGCTCCTCATCTGTAGTTTTAAACCAGTTTTACTGCTAGATTGCTCCAAAACAGCAGAAAACCCAAATGTGGGTTTCTGTACCACGGTTCTGTTTCAATGAGGAACTGAGTGGACAAACACTTTGTGCAACATAAAGTGTTGTCATGAGTGTGACATCCAATGCTGTTTCATTCTGACTAGTGCATGAAGTGCTTGGCCGCTGACTGGACCAGACCCGTACTGTACAGGACGATTTTGAAATCCCCCCCGGACATTTTTTAGGTATAAAAAGTAGGACATGTCCAGGAAAAGAGGACGTCTGGTCACCCTAGCATATCAACAATTTAATGTTTCAGTGAGTGAGTGCTTGTTGCTATGATGCGTCTTTGCTCAGCAGGGTTGCTTGTTGCAAACCAACCAATCAGAGCACAGCTCATCTAAATATTCATGAGCATACCATAAAAGGAAGAAAACCTGTCGTTTCATTCTAGGGCTTTTAACCAGGCTTGCATTAGGGCTCATAGAACAGCAAATATGCCATTTACCGTATGTTTGCAAAATTATGGAATGGACTAAACAATGAAATAAAGATGTGTAACTCTATATTAGCTTTCAAATAGACTTTAAAATCTAAAATTATAGAAGGTTACATTGATATTTGACTGAGTTTGATTTTTCAGTTTAAGTTACTATGTGTTTTGTAATTATCTATTAGTTACGGAGGTGGATTAGGGCCAGTGGAAAAAAAAAAAAAGTTAACTAATTTTTAAATTTTATTTCAGTTTAGTATGGGAAAAAAAGTCAGAATTCCAAATTTTTTCTCAGAATTCTGACTTAAATCTCAGAATTCTGACTGAATTCTGACAATAAAAAAAGTTGCTGTCTGATGGATTCTTTTGTAAAAAATATATATATTTTTTTGGTTTGTTTTTAAACTGAAATAAAGTAACCATTTATTCATTAATGCATTCATTGGTTCATCAGTGGAAAGTTAATTTCACTGACACAGACTGTGTTACACCCTGAGTGGAAAGGTGGATGCATAAAGGGTTTAGTTACTGTAAGAAAAATCTAACCCGGATCTTGTTTTAGGGAAAAAGTAACAGCTGGTTTATTACTCTATTCTGGTGCCCTTTAGCTAAAAACTTTCCTGCCGCCCACCTAAGGTGCAGCTGTGCTTTAGCTAAAAATGTGTCAAAACTTACTGCAAACAGTATTAACAGTGTACAGAGGTTTATGGAGGATACAGTGCTGAGCTCAGACAGCATCTTTGTTGTGCCTGAACAAGTTAAACTGGTCAGACACCATTATCATTTAGAAGGATCCCAACCTGACCTGGGATGTGTTGTTCCACAGAGACCTTATTGATTAACTACAGTACATTGATTTAGCCATTCAGCAGATATTAACCCTTTAATGGCCCGGTTAACTTCAAACCTCCTGTTAGAGTTTCATCCAGGCAGTTGAAGGTTTAAAGGGCAGAGATCCAGGGACATTTTTAGTTTCTGTTTTTACAAGTTGATCTGACATCTGATAGCTTCTTAGGAAACGCGATCACAGGAATTCAGAGAATAACAGGAACAAATGAAAACAGAACCTCTGACATGTCTGAACAGATTAACTTGAAAATGCAGCTTCAGAAATTGATTTGCAGTTGTTTTGAGGTTTCCATTCGCTTTCTGCATGTTTGTTTTTTTCTTGTTGGATCTGTGGGTGGTGCCTTCATTCTTTGCCCCATTCTACCTTTCTATGTCAGATATGCACATTTTTTTCATGTGTCTGTCTGGTCAGATTCTCACCCACTTAGATAAGAGATAAGAGGTACATTTGTGTGAATGTGGTGGCATTAGATTCTCACAGTAAAAGAGCACTTAAAGGTTTAAGGAAGTGGTTTAATCAAAGAGATGAAGACTTGCTAACTTCCTGTAGATTGATGTCTCAGAAGTCTGTGGCACTTGAGCTTTAGGCTTGAAACATTTTGCAAGCGGGATGTTTAGTATAAAAAATAGCTCCGTATGACTGTAACCCTTTAGACAAAATTATCTGTCAGCACTCCAACCTTTCAAGTTACAGTGTAGTTTGAAATTTGGCCTTGCACAATCCGGACAAATCACCAGGCTGACTAGTATATTTTTGATAGTGATCAAAGACAAAATGTCTCTCATAGGGAGGTATGAAGGTACCAAGTTAGGCTACGTTCACACTGCAGCTTGAAGTGACCCAAATCCGATTTTTTGGCACATATGCGACCTGTATCTGATCTTTTCATGGCTGTCTGAACAACACAGATCCGATTTTTTCCAATGCGACCCAGGCCGCTTGGCTCTGTGGTCCTGAATCCGATACGAATCTGATTTTTTAAAATGCGACCTGTGTCTGAACAGCCAGTTCGCATTGGACCTGAACGCCAATAATACCCGACAAAGATCAAAATTCTGGGTTGTGCTATGAAGAAGCGGCAAAAAAACAACAACCAGACGATGATGCGGAGAACAGTATTAATGTTTAACCATGTTGAAAAGATTGTGTATTTATGGTTGGGAGAGACGGCTAGATGCGCTCCGGCACTACCATCTATGTTTACTTCCGTAAACATAGAGCACGCTGGCCTGTGATGTCATTGCAGCCTCTACTGCGCATGCGGGACTCCTGCGTTGTATGACTGCAGTTCAAACAGGAGATCACATACAAGTCGCTTATATTTGGAAATGTGAACAGCAAAGCAAAAAAATCGAATTTCACAAGAAAATCGGAATTGAGCATCAAGGCCTGCAGTGTGAACATAGGCTTAGAGACCATGAGATCCAACTTTATTCTATGAGTGGACGGGGCCTTTTATTAGCACAGCATGTTTTAAAGACAGGAGCAGGAGCCAATGACCGTCCTATATGGTTAAAGCCCATTGTCATTACCATCGCTACAGCCTGTGGTTGCTACGCATGGCTGTAGCCAATGACCGCTCTCTATGGTTAAAGCCCATTGTCATTACCATGGCTACAGCTAATGGACATTACCATAGCTACACCCTATGGTTGCTACGCATGGCTGTAGCCAGTGACCGCTCTCTATGGTTAAAGCCCATTGTCATTACCATGGCTACAGCTAATGGACATTACCATAGCTACACCCTATGGTTGCTACACATGGCTGTAGCCAGTGACAGCTCTCTATGGTTAAAGCCCATTGTCATTACCATGGCTACAGCTAATGGACATTACCATAGCTACACCCTATGGTTGCTACACATGGCTGTAGCCAGTGACCGCTCTCTATGGTTAAAGCCCATGGTCGATACCATGGCTACAGCCCATGATCAATAGCCATGGCTACAGCCAATGATCACTATCTATGCTTAAAGCCCATGGTCGATAACATGGCTACAGCCCATGACCAATAGCCATGGCTACAGCCAACGATCGCTATCTATGCTTAAAGCCCATGGTCGATACCATGGCTACAGCCCATGACCAATAGCCATGGCTACAGCCAATGATCGCTATCTATGCTTACAGCCCAAGGTCGATACCATGGCTACAGCCCATGACCAATAGCCATGGCTACAGCCAACGATCGCTATCTATGCTTAAAGCCCATGGTCGATACCATGGCTACAGCCCATGACCAATAGCCATGGCTACAGCCAATGATCGCTATCTATGCTTACAGCCCAAGGTCGATACCATGGCTACAGCCCATGACCAATAGCCATGGCTACAGCCAACGATCGCTATCTATGCTTAAAGCCCATGGTCGATACCATGGCTACAGCCCATGACCAATAGCCATGGCTACAGCCAACGATCGCTATCTATGCTTAAAGCCCATGGTCGATACCATGGCTACAGCCCATGACCAATAGCCATGGCTACAGCCAATGATCGCTATCTATGCTTACAGCCCAAGGTCGATACCATGGCTACAGNTCGATACCATGGCTACAGCCCATGACCAATAGCCATGGCTACAGCCAATGATCGCTATCTATGCTTACAGCCCAAGGTCGATACCATGGCTACAGATATTCATATGTTTATAGGAACAGACCGAATTAAATCTTCTCTGGGTCATTGTTGATTTTAGGAGGAATGGTACATTCTGTTTCTGATATAACTTTCCACCAGCCTGGTATAACAGCTTATTTTTTTTCTACAAGATTCACAGTCAGACTCTGGCGAAGTGACAGCAGCTACAGGTCCCTTAAATCTTGCTGGCATTGTGCTAAAAACTCTTATTTAACTGCACTTCAATGCGGTAACCAAAATGGTAATGAAATAGCATTCATAAACGTTTTGTGAGCCAATCCATGTTTAGAGCATTTTATCTTCACTCCAATCAATGAATGACAGTGTGTCTTCCATGGACTACAGCCCAATAAATTCAATAAAATAGTTAAAAATTTTTATGAATGAATTGTAAATTTTAGTCTGCATATTTGGTAAACCAAAGTAGATAGAGCCACAGCCCTACAGACACCACCAAAGCTAAACGTTTGGGGCGGTAAGGCTTCCTTCCCTGGGATGGGGATATTGGGGCCATATCTACTGTAGGAGCCAATCCAGTGCAAAGGCTTTTCAGCTAGTGTCAACAATTTTCTCCAGACTAGCACAGCCCAAATAAGTGCAACAAGCCACCGTGTTCTTACAGAACCATCAATTGCAGAAGTCGTTTTAGGGGAGACAGAACACTTTGTAATAAGTTGTAGAGTTGCTGACACTGGTGTTATTTGTTTTTCATTTGAAAATGGATGTGTTTGTGTCTCTGATACCATAGGTCCTTGTTTTATTTGGCTTATGAACAGTCAGAAATTAGGTTGCCAAAAGCAAGATATATGTTGCCTGTTATTTGTTCTGAAAGTCAAAAGCAAACTCTAAAATGTATGCCACTTAAACCACAGCTAGAAACTCAGGGTTTCCGGACCTTATTAGAGCAGATGTGACTGCTAATGAAACTCTGTCTGTGGTTATCATTTTAAAACATAATGTTCAGCTCAAAACCAAAGGTTTATGTAGGAAAAAAGAATTGTGTGACTTTATTTGAGTCATTATACTTTCCCTAGCTTATACAAAAAACCTCAAACTTTTTGTAGAACTACCATGAGTTTTTTAAGCCTTTTTTTCTTATGCTCAAATATTGTCATGTGTTCCTTTAAACAGTCTTAGCAGTCATTTAATGAAGCTGCTGCATTCTAAAAGAGCCACAGAAGAGTCTGTAGAGTATTTCAGATTATTCCAGTAATTTGAGCAGGTCTTTTTTTTTTTACCCAAACAATATAGGTTATGTGTTTGAGTAAATCAAATTTTAAAAGAAACAGTCAGCTTTGCAGAGCTATAATACCTCTACTGCCCTCTAGTGGGATCAGTTTACAATAGCATGTTGTGCGTTTAATGTATTTTAACAAGTAATTAATCGAGCATCTAATTTCTCTCGAAGTTTTGAAATGAATCCCAAGTTGAATAAAGTTCATATATATATAGATCCTCTCATCGTGCATCTAATCTATTCTACTTTTAATGGCTGCATAACCTCTTTAATCCAATGAGCATAAGGAGGAGGGTAGGTCTCCTTCCATTTGAACACTATTAACCTCCTTGCTAGTAAGGTGGTGTATGCCACCACATTTGTCTGAGTAGCATGTAGATATGCACTAGCTGGGGAGAAGGTTCTAGGTGGTATTGGAGGATAGTTGCTAGAGCATTAAATAGCCTTTTCCTTTTTGTCTAAATTTGTTGCTTTCTGTTGTTTGGTCTTGAAGTTTCAGATAAAGTTACAATCCTGAATGAGATAACTTATCTCCTATGTGCTGCCTGAATGTTCTCCATCAGGCCGTTTAACCTTAAGATGCTTCTTTTTCTCTGAAGGTACATGAAGATCGTCCATCCTTTGGGGAACCACTTCTTCCAGAAGGCTAGAGCTGCTTACATCATCTCTATATCAACCTGGGGTTTGCTCCTGGCAATGACGAGCTCCTATGTCATCCTTTCCCTCCTCACCAAAGGGAATAAGGAAGAGCTGCCCGGTATGGTGAGCTGTGACGTCCTGCACAGTAAGCAGCTGAGTCTGCTCTACAAAATCATCCACAGCTTCTCCGCCATCCTCTTCCTCATCGTCCTCATGGCCCTCATCTTGTTCTACCACAGCACGTCACGTAGGCTGTCTCTGGCTCAGAGAACTCAAACAACTTCCAGTAACTCCAAAAAGCTTATTAAATCCCGGCGAAACATGCTGGTCCTGGTCACGGTCTTCTGCGTCTGCTTCGTCCCCTACCACCTGGTTCGCCTTCCCTACGCCTTCAAGAAAAGTTTGTTTTGCTCATGGAGTTGGTTCTTCTACGTGAAGGAACTGACCGTCCTGGTGTCGGTCCTCAACGTCTGCCTGGACCCTCTGATCTACTTCATCTTCTGCAAGGCGTTCCGTGCTCAGATGAGCATGAGGAGGGGGGTTCACACCCAACAGAGTTCAATGCAGGAAGAGCAAACAGACACGAGGAGCAGCGACGGGTGGTTGAACTCCCTCAGAAACCTGAAAAGACTGTCGGTCATCTCAGTGACCAGGCAAAGCAGCGTTCTGTAGACCTTTCTGACTTCAGGACTCATCCATTAAAGGTGAAAAAAATCCAGAGCTGAATCCAGACTGGAAGATAAAGAACGTTACTAATCTCCATCTAACATGAGATGGAGACTTTAAGGTCAGACACAGACTTGATGCATGGTCTTCATTGGAGGAGGAGCCTGAGTCACCAACAGAAGATAAAACATCAGAAGATCGTCATTCTTTATTGTTCATTTACCTTTTCCTGGATGACTCCAGAATTTGATTTCCAGGAAGAATACATGGTTCTTCTCAAACATGGTGATGCTGTCGTCATCACCTCCAGTCCATAAGCATTCATCTTTTTAGACAGAGATGTTACAGTTTAAAAGCACGGATCCAGTCCCAGTTTCCTGCCATTTTCCTTTCAAACTCATCTGAGTTTTTGGTTCATGTTTTAAATAAGGAATGACCGATGGTTTCATGATTTTCTGGAGATCTTCCAGACTTGGCTTTTATTTTTATTTTTTTTGTCTGTATTCATATTGATTTTCAAGTCCATTTCCAGCAGTTAAAACTTGTCTGAAAGGCCTAAAACATAGCCTCAGACATCCATCTACAGAATACGGATCAGAGGGAGTGGTGGCCAAGTGGTTAGAAGCTTGGAATCCTGAGGTTGTGAGTTTGAAACCCACTCCCACAGACTGCCACTCTGGGTCCCTGAGCAAACACCCTTAACCCTTCACTTCACTTTATTTTTTAGCAAATAATCCAACATTAAACAACAAAACAACAATATCAAAACAAAACAAAACCAACAATTTACCAAAAAAAAGGGAATAGGCTGAAGCAAAGCTTATTATTGCCTACCCTGTTTTATACTTACAACCTTTACAACCTACCAGGTTCTTTACTGAGTATATAAATATTCAAATCTACATAACATAGGATTTTATCATTTTACATTTTAAAGCCCTTTTGAAATTCACCAAGGATATAACTTTAAATCAACCTGCTCCTTGGGCGCTGCAAATGGCCCACTGCTTCCAAAGGGGATGGGTTAAATGCAAAGAGGGAATTTTGTTGCGCTGTACTTGTGACAGTGTAATGACAACAAAAAGCTGGTAAAAAACTCAAAAAGATCAATTTGGATATTAAGATCCTTCATGTTTTAGCAAGCTCAATACAGTTATGGTAAATAATAACAGAATCACATCAGCAGCTTTCTTCCTCCTGATAGTGTATGGAGTGAGTTTTGTTCCATCATTGTTTGAAAATTGAGTAAAAAAAAAAAACAGCATTTGTAAAATAAAATCTGAAAAAAGTAATCCAGAATTGAAAGTAGAAAATTAAAAAAAAGGGCTTTTCCTGTTTTCTTGTTAATCAATGTGTTTTGTTGTTTAATCAATAATATATATATATATATATATTTTATCTTATTTTATTTTTTCCAAATTATATTTCCCTCGTTTTTGTTAATATTTAAAATACAATTTGAAATTTTTGGAACTTAATCTGAAAACCAAAAAAATTGTGAAAGAAATCGAAACACAAAAATCTGAACAAAAGAAAACATTTGAGTAAGCCAAAATATTTCAAAGATTCATTTCTGGATTTTTTTGTTTTGTTTTAAGTTCTACTCTTCCTCAAGTCTAGTATGTCATAAAAAACCATACTCATTTATTACAAAATAATTATCCAAACATTATATAAAATGAGTAATAAAGCATCTTGGTTCATATGCAATGAGCTTTAATATTTGTTATATTTTTAGAAAAAAAAGTTGGTTTTTTTTATCCCCTGAAAATAACAGATTTAAGTCCATTATTACTACTGGAGGATGGAAAAGTTAAATGCCATGGCTGAAAGAAAGCCAATTATACTAAAGCTTTTGTGCTTTATATATATATATATATATATATATATATATATATATATATATATATACATATATATATATAAAACTGTGAATGCCAACCTAATATTTCACCAATGTCCTTTTAAATGCATTGTTTAATGAAAATATCTAATGATGAAAATAATTGAATTTTTTTGTTCTCACAGAAATTCACCTCTGCATTTAACCCATCCCCTTGGGGAGCAGTGGGCTGCCACTTTGCAGCGCCCAAGGAGCAGTGTGGGATTAAGGGTGAGGGACCCAGAGTGGGGGCTGTGGAGATCAACCGGGTACTTGCAGCATTCTCAGAGCACAAGTGCGTTGCTCTAACCACTAGGCCAACAATTTAGGCCCCGTCCACACGAAGTCAAACCCTGGCCTAAATTCACTTATTTTTCACCAAACCAGCCTCTCATCCATACGAAGCCGGCGTTTCGGGGGTCCGTAAACGATCTTTTTTTAATTCAGCCTTCAGAGTGGGAAGATT